GAAAAACAACAAGTCACATATAAAGGAAAGCCCATTAGAATTACAGCTGACTTATCAATGCAAATTATGAAAGCCAGAAGAGCCTGGACCAAGGTATTTCCCATTCTAAATGGCCATAGATGCCAACCCAAAATACTTTACCCAGCAAAAATGTCTATTACAGTTGAAGGGGAAAGAAAAATCTTCCATGACACAAATAGGCTGAACGAATACATGTCCACAAAACCCACCCTTCAAAGAATACTTGAAGCAATACAAAGAATGGAGAAAGTAACAACTATATCCCAGGGGCAATAGAAAGAAACTAAATAAAGGCATAATTGTAGAAAGACAAAATTAGACAAAGGATGCAAACAGTAATCAAAATGATGGCAACCAATACACATCTTTCCATTATAACTTTAAATATCAATGTACTGAACTCCCCAGTCAAAAGATAAAGGCTAGTTGAATGGATTAAGAGACAAAATCCATCTTTATTGTCTGCAAGAAACCCATCTCACCTTCATGGACAGATGAAAAAGAATGAAAGGATGGGAAAGACTATTTCAAGCAAATGGCACTAAGAAACAAGCAGGGGTTGCAATTCTAATATCTGACAAAATAGACTTCAAACTAAAACTAATCAGAAGAGTCAAAGAGGGTGACTTCATTCTGATGAAAGGAACAATTAACCAAGAAGGTATTACAATCATGAACATACATGCACCAAACTCTGGTGCATTCAAATTCATGAAACAACACTACAGGACTTTAAGACACAGCTTAAACCCAACTCAGTAATAGTAGGGGACTTCAATACCCCATTGTGTCCATTAGTCAGGTCAACTGGACAAAGAATAAACAGAGAGACGTATGAATTAAACGATACCATACATCAACTGTACCTAACAGACATCTTCCACATATCCCATCCAAACACCAAAGAATACACTTTCTGTTCAACTCCCCATGGGATTTTCTCAAAAATTGGCCACATACTGGGTCACAAAACAAACCTCAACAAAACAAAGAATTGAAATAATTCCATGCATTCTATCATACCACAATGCAATAAAGCTTAAATCAACACTGGAAGAAGCCCTAGTCACTACACAAACTCATAGAGATTAAACAACACACTCCTGAATGATGAGTTGGTCAAAGGAGAAATTGAGAAAAAAAATAAAAGTCTCCTGGAATTCAATGAAAAGGACAATACAACAAAACACTTTAAAAGCAGTCCTAAGAGGGAACTTTATAGCTCTAAGTGCCTACATTAAAAAATTAGAAAGAGCAAAAATAAATGACCTAACACTTCAACTCAAGACACTGGAAAGGCAAGAACAAATGAAACCCAAACCTAGCAGAAGATAAGAAATAACAAAAATCAGAGCAGAAATTAATGAAGGAGAAACAAAGAAAACAATACGAAGAATCAATGAATCTAAGAGTTTAGTTTGAAAAACTAAACAAGATAGACAGACTCTTAGCCCAGTTAACCAAAAGAAAGAAAGAGCAAATCCAAATAAACAAAATCAGAGATGAAAGGGAAAACATCAGAAAAGACACCCAAAAAATTCAGAATATTATAAGGGAATACTTTAGAAACCCATGCTCTATTAAATTTGAAAACCTAAAAGAAATGGATGGATATCTAAAATCATGGGAACTAACAAAGTTAAACCAAGAAGAGATCCACAGTTTAAACAGACCCATAACATATAAGGAAATTGAAACCACTAAAAAAATCCCAGGCCCAGATGGATTTACAGCAGAATTCTACCAGACATTTAAAGACTGCCAACCAATACTATTTAAATTATTCAAAATGATAGAAACAAAGAACTCCCGAATTCCTTCTATGAAGCCAGCATCACTCTAATACTCAAAATAGGTAAAGAGAAAACTATAGGCCCATATCATAAATGAACATAAATGCAAAAATTCTCAACAAAATACTGAAAACCTCATATAGATGTACATCAAAAAGAACATTCACTATAATCACATAGGCTTTATTCCAGAGATGCAGGGATACATGCAAGTCAGTAAACATCATCAATCATATAAATGGACTCAAAGACAAAAACCACATCATCATCTCAATAGATGCAGAAAAGGCTTTCAACAAAATTCAGCATGCATTCACAATAAAAGTTCTAAAGGGAATTGGACTGGAGGGAACATCCCTCAACATAACTGAAGCTATATACAACAAACCCACAGCCAACACCATTCTAAATGAAAAAAAAAAAAACTGGAAGCAATCCCATTAAAATCAGGAACAGACAAGGATGTCCACTATCTCCACTTCTTTTCAATATAGTGCTTGAAACTATTGCTAGAGCAGTAAGACAAGAGAAGGAAATTAAAGGAGTACTAATTGGAAAAGAAGAGGTCAAATTATCCCTTTATGCAGATGATATGATACTATACCTAAGAGATCCCAAAAATTTCACCAGAAAACTCCTATAACTGATCAACATTTTCAGTAAAGTAGCAGGTTATAAAATTAATCTACAAAAATCAGCAGCCTTTCTATATACCAATAACAAACAATTGGAGAAAGAGTACAAGGAAATGCTCCCATTCACAATAGCCACAAAAAATGTCTTGGAATAAACCTAACCAAAGACATCAAAGATCCCTACAATAAAAAATTTTAAATCTTTAAGAAAGAGATTGAGGAAGACACCAGAAGATGAAAGGACCTCCCATGCTCATGGGTTGGAAGAATTAATGTTGTGAAAATTACCATCCTACCAAAAGCAATATATAGATTGAATGCAATCCCAATAAAAATCCCCATGGCATACTTCACAGAATTAGGAAAAAAAAATCCTTAAATTCACATAGACGCACAAAAGACCCCAGATAGCCAAAGCAACCCTGAGCACAAAGAGCAACACTGAGGGGGATTACTATACCAGATCTCAAAATATACTACAAAATCTTGACTGGATAGGATTTAACAACATACATGACAGAATGCATGAAATCCAATAAGAGGGGTTATGGGGAGTGCGGATGATAGAAGGGTCTACATTTGATTAAGATCTATTGTATGAAATGCACAAAAACTCAATAAAATATTTTTAAAAGGAAAATAATGTGACAAAATTCAACATTTCATGATTAAAAAAAATCTCAACAAGGGGCTAGAGAAGAGATGGCTCAGTGGATAAGAGCACTGGCTGTTCTTGCAGAAGACCTGGGTTCAATTCCCAGCACCCACATGACAGCTAAAAACCATCCCTAACTCCGGTTCCAGGAGATCCGACACTCTCTTCTGACCTCTGAGGGCATTGCATGACATAGGTGCATTTACACACTTGCAAGCAATGCACTCATACACATAAAGTAAAAATAATAAAGTATTAAAAAAAAAAAACCTCTCAACAGACTGGGTAGTAGAAGGAATGCAGCTGCAGACCTTCTATCAGGGTTATATGTGACAAGTGAACAGCCATCATCATACTTGATTTTGAGGAGCTGAAACTTCCTCCTGTCATAGAAACAAAACAAAATTGTTTATGCTTGACTCTTCTGCTCAGCATTGAAATGGAAGTTCTAGCCAAAACACATTTTGGAAAAATCCAAATAGAAATCGAAGATATAAAATTGTGTTTTTGCAGAAGGCATGTTCTTATAAAAATCTGAAAAAATGACTGAAAACTCAGTGAAGTTTCAGATTATAAAATCAACATAGAAATCAGTAACATTACTATGCACAAACTGAATTATTATTTGATATTAAATATTATTATTATCATTATTTGAAATATAATTCCAGAAAACAGTCTCATTCGTAATAGCAGTAAAAAAATGGGAATGTTTCAACCAGGAAGTAGTATATCTACATTAAAAAGTGTGACATTAGTAAAGCAAATGAAAGAACACGATGCTAACCTATGTTCATGGGCTAGATAAGTAAGGATTGTCAAACTATCCATATCAGCTAGAGAAACCTGAAGATTTGGAACAATTACCATTAAAATTCTAGTGACATTGTTTACAAAAAGAGAAAAAAAATCTTGAAGCTTATTATGGATAGTTACAAAACGACCATAAAAATTCAAAGCAATTCTAAGTACCAAGGACAAAGCTGAAGGCATTCTTCCCTCAACTTCAAACTATACTGTAAAACTATAGCAACCAAAACAGAATTCTTTAGTATTAAAAACAAATAGACAGTGGAACTAAACAATTCAGAAGTAAATCTGTATATTTGTAGGCAATTGATTTTCAACAAAGATGTCAAAGACATACAATCTCTTCAGTAAATGGTGTTTGGATAATTGGATATTCACACCCAAAATGACACTGAACACTTATTTCATACATATAAGAAATCAACTCAAAATGTGCTAAAAATAAAACCTGAGTCTATGAAACTACTAAAAGGATACACAAAGGAAGAAAGAGTTCCATAACATTGATCTAGACAGTGTTTATTTGTGCATAACCTCAAAAAAATAAACAACAAAAACAAAATGAACAAATGGGATTAAATCAAATTAAAAAGCCATGGAAACGACAGCATGAAAAGACAACTCACAAAATGAGAGAAAATGCTTACAAACCATACATATGGTAAGGGGGTTAATATCAAAATATATAAGGTTTTCTATAACAAGAAAATAGCTCAGGATAAAATGGACGAAGGATCCAGTGGGCATGTCTCAGAAGAGGCATGCAAATGGTTCAACAAGTACATGAAACTGTTCCCAGCATTGCTATTGGAGAGAGGCCAATCAAATTCACAATGACATATCACCTTTTGTTTACCTTTGTGCTCTCTCACTTGGGCCATTCCAGCTGACTCTACTGGATATTTTGAGCTTGGTTGATGATTTCTTGATGTTTGCTGCTTCTCTCCATCTGCTACTTGCTAATTATTCTTTTACTTTTGCTTACTATATGCTTAATAAACTCATTTAAAACTAAAAGTGTGGCTAACATAGATCATTCTCCAGACCACACAAATCACATGCAATAATGTTGATAAATGTAGGAACATGCTAAATGATGTAAGTCAGACCCAAAAGACAGTTACTACATGATCTAGATTTACATATAGAATTCAAAAAGGTGGAAATCTAGGTAGCCGAGAGTAGCCTGGTGGTTGCAGGGACCGGTAGGAGTACAGAAGAAATGAATTGAAGGATTCAAAGTTTCCATTACACTATGTTAATGTATTCTGGAGATCTGCTGGATAGAATGGTCACTCTAGTTAACGTATTATATATTTGAAAGTTGCTAGGACAATAGATCTCACCATAAAAACGAAGCAAGCCTGTGTGAGATGATGGGCATGTTATTAGCTTTATACTTTGCTGATCTTCTCATAGAATACACAGACGTTAAACAACATGTTATTTACTTTAAATATGTATAATTTTGTGTGTTATACATTAAACTGAAAAAATAAAAGCAAAAAGCCAACTTCTGTGCCTCCTAATTCTCTATTCCCTGCAAAAAAAACCACTGAGGAATTATCTTACACTTTAAAGAGTAAGACAGAAGACGTGAACCCTGTGTGTGTGATTCTAAATTTTATTCTTTTTCTATAAGAGGAATCACTAGATCAAGTGATGAAACAGTAGAGTTTAGGTTTTAACAGGAAAAAGGTATTAATGCAGTTCTGTGTTTATATGATATTATGTAGGAGAATGCTTTTGTTTTCCAGAAATATACACTAAAGTATTCAAGGGTAATATGTCATCAAGGTAATAACTTATTCTTAAATAATTCAGAAAAATGCCTTTGCAAAGCACTTGCAATTTTCCTAAAGCTTTTTAACTATTTCAAAACTTGTTTTAGAAAATTAATAAAAATGTGCTGTAGAATAAAATCTCAAATTTAGCTCATAGGCTTTAAACTTTATTATTTATATTTATTAAAATGCTTTGAAATGTATCTTCATATTTTTAGGAATATTGGCCCAGGGATTATTGCTTTAGAGATAAGGACATATTGGATGACACTTTAAAAAAAATACAAGAAGACAGTTCATTTACTTCAGTTTATTCTACTCTACGGGACAATGTTCCTCGATTATTTAAAGAAGTCATTGCCATGGACTCAAGATTAAACGAATGTTCATTTCTTTTGCAAAACCATGCCTCCAAACTATTTGATTGTAGCAGAATGATTTCCAAGACAAGTAAGATTTGTTTTTATGTGAACAAAGTAATCGTTCTAGTGTGTGTGTGTGTGTGTGTGTGTGTGTGTGCGTGCGTGCGTGTGTGCCTGTCTGTCTGTCTGTCTGCTGCCTCTATGTGTGCTCTCATAAAGAATGAAATTCTTAAATATAAATATTTTAAAACAAAATGTTAAAAATATCATCGTTAAAGCATGACCTATTACATATTTTTAGGTATGTCTAAGCATGTAGTTTGAAAGAAAGTTTACAAGGACAAACTTAAAACAGTTATGAACTTCATTGAACTGGAATTAGAGGTAGAAAAATATCAGGGATTCTGGGAAACAAGATGCACCAACTGATACTGTGGGAATCCAGTCAGCCAGCAAGGGTCAATGTCGAAACTAAAATTTTGATGTTTGGGTGAGAGGTAATCTATATGGCTTAGGTTAGCTTATAAATATATTTGGCAGTAAGTTTAAAAGAGTGAATGACTGAAAAGCATATCCTCAAATAATAATTTTTCCTTCTTAGAATTTGTATAAATATTTTCTTACCTAACTTTATTGACCAATACTTCCAGAATAATTATACTAATAATACTAATTACAATAATAATACTAATAACTGCTGTCTTATACTTTTTAAAAATCAGCATACTAGGTGTTAGGCATCACTATGGCATTTTCAAGCAAAGAATGCTTTAATAAATTCTTTCCATCTATTCTACCCCTTCCCTTAACCAACCCACTTGTGACCTATCTCCAAGTCCCCTTGTCACTTGCATGTCACAGGTGTACTTTTGTGTTCCTACTTCTCAGCACCTCCTTTTACATTCTCTTGGTTTCCTTTCTAGTTTTTTAGACTTTTGCCACATTTATACCCATTTATGTGTGTACATGTACAGGTACAAAGTAGAATCTGCATATGAGAGAAAACATTTAGTTTTTGTCTTTCTAAGGTGTATTACCTCAGTTAATATACTTTCCAGATCCATCCATTTCTTGAAAATTTCATAATTTTATATGTCCATTCATTTCTTTTATTTATTTATTTATTTATTTTTAACTTTAACAAAAAAATTATTGAAAATTACATATGTGTATC